GATGGCTAGAGGAGCATGACTGTGGGTTTGGGAGATAGCTACAGATTGAACATGGGGTGGGTCCTCCTGTTGGATCATTTTTGTATGTGATGGGCCGGCCAAATTTGAAGAGCTCAATTGGTTAAAATGAGGCTGAGGGTTCGCAACAGATGGGAATAATAAGATTGGAGAGGATGGGCTTAGAGGGAGCAAAGGGTTAAATGGGCTAGGAACAACCTGTTTAAATTTGCAAATAGAGGTGTGGCCCAACTCCTTAAAATTAGAGTGAGAAGGCTTAACAGCTTCCTTAGCGGCAAGGCTGCTAACAGGAGACGTGCTCTGACAACCCCGTTCCCCGGCATGGCTGCTAACAGTAGGCGTGCTCTGATATCCCCGTTCCCCATTCACAGAGTGTTGTCTCTCATCTGTCGGAACTCTGGCTTGTGAGATCAATTCATTTCCGTTTGAAAATTGGGTGCCATGCTGTTCGACGCGCATTGGGTGTACATTGGCCACATCCACTGGGATAGCCACGTCATCGTCTTCTTTGCCAGAGAATTCTCCAGCAGCCTTTGGCGTATGAGTGCTTATAATCTGTTCCTCTGTAACACGGATAATATGATCATCATGCTTACAAACCAAAGTGATGGCGCGATTAATGACCTCAAGCTGATTTGTTGTAATCAGAACTCTGCCACATTCAAAAGATAGATGCTTCAACGTTGAGTCATCCACCATGATCACTTCACCCCAAACTCTTCCTATGCTCTTGAATGTGTTGAAATTCCAGAGATTCAGTGGAACTCCATAGCAGTTGATCCACACTGTTCTTGAGCTAAGATTGGATAGTTTCCAAAGAGACCATTCTTGTGCATCCTCAAATCTTGAAGTGAACCAATCCTTGTTTTTGTGGATTCTGTTTCTCATAGCTTCTTGGGAATCAAAAGTTAGAACATATGATTTACCCCCCATAGCGCGCACCTGAATATTCTTGGCATCCTCAGGAGAGAAGGAGCTCAATATGGACTGATCTGCAGTTGGAAGGCTTGCTTTCACCACCACACTCCTATAGAGCCATTCAATATCCGCTTCCGTCGCGTGTACTTTGATAGAAGGTTCAGAAGCATGTACCTTATTAGCTTGGTCACTTACTAGAGCATTGCTTTTGACAATGTCCGCATAAGAGGGTTTGTTTAGATTTTGCACACTTGGCAAATTCAAGGTGTTGGAATAGCGAGCTTCATGAAGATTGGATCTCAATTTATGTTCTGCCTAAAAGTGCTCAGGATATGGTGGCCTCTCAAATCTTGCAGGCTTGACAATAAGATGATAATCACCATACCATGCTCTGTTGAGTTTCCTAACTGCCTCCTCTGCCGAAGTTGGCCTCTCGTAACGGATGAAGCCAAATCTTGAGTTGAAACGCTTGGTTCTTCTATTTGGAATTGAGGCGTGGACTACACTTCCAAATCTTTGAAAAATGCCCTTCAGGGAATTCACCTGCATCTACTCTGGAATGTTGGCTATGAAGATGGTGGGAGATATTCTAGGTTTTCTATGCTTTCTAGAGACGGTTGTCCAGTCATGGTCGGTATCTCCACTATTGTGGCCAGCATTGTTGTGGCCAGCATCCATCCTTTGAGTTTCGAAAGGGAGGAATTTTCCACTGTTAAGATTTGAATTGTCTTCCGTATATTAAAAAGATTAAACTATCCCGTCTATTTTTATGTGTTATTATATGACTTATTTTAAAGATTCAATTTATTCAAATTTCAATTCCTTGTATGTAAATTATTTATAAAAAAAAAAAATTAATTTAATAATTGTAGTAGTTGCATGATTTTATTATATTTTTTTCTATAAAAGAATAACCAACAAGTATAATGTTGATAACATATTAATTATTTTTGTATAAATAAATGTAATAAAATATGTAATTGTGATTATCAAATCAATTTAATATTTTTCACAAAAGGTAACAGATGTTGTCATCAAAGTAGACCATGATGGGCCTAAAACCGTACGGTTGAAATGCAAATCATAGAGAATCCAGTTCCAGATATGAAATATCACGAGTTAAACCAACTTTATACAAATAATATATAGATGGACGTGAATCTCTCTTACTCTCTAAAAACCTCTCAAAAAACCTCTCTCTCTCTCTAAAAACCTCCACCCCTGACCTCACTTTTGGCTGGCCGGCCGCCGCCTTTGGCTATGGCGGTCGGCTGGTCCAGCTTCCTCTTCTGTTTATGTGTTGTTTTTTCCATATAATAACTTGATTCCCACAATGTTTTCCCACTTAGATGTGTTTCGGTGCTGCTGGTCCAGCTCCCTTTGGAGCTGTTTGTTTTGTTTTCACCAGGGGGTGCTTGGTATAGGGGTCTATCAGAGTAGATGGTGGTCGGTTTTGGACCGGAATAAAGGTTGATCTAATCTGGGTAGGAGTTTCATTCGGGCGCTCCTGTGCGAGTGGGAGTTTGAGGGATGAATGTTGGTTCGGATCTATGGAGATGCTTCGATCCAGATCTAAGATCTAAGAGTTCAGATCTAGATCCAAATCTTCGATCCAGATCTAAGATTCCATTCGAGCGCTCCTTTTCGAGTTGGTGTTTGAGGGGTGTACTTCATCCAGTGGTATCCAGTGGGTGTGTTCGGAGTTTGGTTCAGAACAGAGGTGTCCGACCATGGATTTGGAGTTGGCAGTGGTTCTGTTTCGCCATTGGGTGTGTTCGTGTTCGGATGTGTGTCGAAGATGATCCAGGTCGGCGTTGGGTGTGTTCGACCATAGGAGTAGAGAAGTGGAGTCGGCAGTGGGTATTGGCGTGGAAGTGGGTCTCGGCGTTGGGTGTGTTCCGATGCATTGAGTGCTCGGTAGGTGTTCAGATGGGAGGCGTGGTTGGTAGCAGCAGGTTGGTATGGGTGGTTGGTAGCGTGGTTGGTTCTGCAGTGGGTGTTGGTTCTGCAGTGGGTATGGGTGGCTCGGCTGGCAGTGTGAGTTAAAAGAGGTTGCTAGCATGGAGTTAAAAGATGGTTTCATAGGTTAGAAGGTTGGTGTACCGGGGTAGAGACGGAGCATTGTGGAGGATGATGATGGCGGCAGGAGCAAGGTGGTAGGTGAGTCCGCTAGGGGCAACAGCAGAGTGGAAGTAGGGACTGTTGACGGTGAGTCAGGAGAGGTAGGGGCTGATGATGGTGAGTCAGCAGAGGTGTGGGCTTTGGGTGTGCGGCAGGCGTGAGTTTTGGCTGTGGTGGCGTGCGTGGATCTTGGCAGTGCAGCAGCATGGGAGTGCAGCAACATTGGGAGTTGGTTTGTTTAGTTTGGCTGTTTTGGAGTTGGTGTTTGGGTTCGGGTTGTGTGGGTTGATGTTGTGGGGAGTCTTTATTTTATTTTTATTTTTTTTTGTTTTATAGTTAAGTTCTTCTTAACTTTTTTGAAAAAAAAAAATTCGTGAGGCCAAGGGGTTGGTTGTATGGATGCGAGTAGCAGTAGTAGGGGTATTCTGTACTTTCCAAATCTCTCTCGATGCATGTCATCTGCCTGTACCTTTAATTTCATGCTGTTAATGAAATTTTTCTTTGCTGATCAAAAAAAAAATATATATATATAGATGGACGTATATATATTTGAATTTATGTATCATATGCAACAAGGAAAACACAAAGTAGCCTACTCTTACACATTGATCAAACTAATAATAATAATTTCTTCAATCAAGTGTGCAAGAAAGTATATTTCTTGTTAGCATCAACACATTATCCTAAAACATCAACCAATCTCATGCAAAATTTATGATGCATCAATCTCTAAAAAACAATGCTTTTGCATTTCCCCGGTTTTGTTGATGTAATTTTCGCATGTATTGTGCCTTTTGTCATCAATAAAGTTTTTGTTTTGCCGATCAAAAAAAAATAAAAAAACTTAGTTTGCCACCACAATTCTTCTAAATTTATTTATTTGTTTGTTTTTTTGATAGGCAAAAGAAATTTATTAATGTAAAAAGAAAGGTACACATCAATATTATATCAAAGGGGAGGTCATGGTGTGTATGATCTGTTTGTTCTATCTCTATGAGCTGAATCTGGTTTTGCAGGGGCATTTGAATTGTTGCAATGGGTGTTAGTTCTGGACTGGGGCACTAGTTGCTATAATGGGTGTTAGTTCTAGACTGAGGCCTTGTTTGTTTTTCTGATTTTGAATGTGCACTGCTGCACTAATGGGTGTTAGTTCTGCTATACTAGTGTCTGGGTTTCTGATTTTGAATGTGCACTGCTGCACTAATGGGTGTTAGTTCTGCTATACTAGTGTCTGGGGTGCTAGCAAATGATAGGATGTGCTTTTTTGTGCCAACCTAATTGAGATGATTCAGCCCATTGTAATGCTTTTGCACCTGCCTTTCTTTATTGATGTATTTTGTCTTGTACTTTGTACTATTTTTTACATCAATGAAGCTTCTTTGTTTTGCCGATCAAAAAAAAAAGGGGGGGAGGTCAAGGTGGGTTCAACTCTCCCTGAGGAGAAGTTGAATTAAGAAGGCAAGCATTTGGTATTTTATAAGGGTAGAGACACTAATTTTTATAGATATCTAACCACTAACAACAGATTTTTGCTGATAAAAAAAAATAGAATGTATAAAAAGTACAAAAAAATTAAAAATTAAAAATAAAATGTATAGATCAATTAATTCTAAGTTTGGCCAACACTACAACAACTTCACCCTTATAGTTAGATCCAAATTCTACTTTGGTCACTACACTTTAAGTCTACTTTCAATTTAGTCATTCCGTCCAAATTTCTATTAATTTTTCTTTTTGTTTATGAACACCTCAAGGGACTAACAGGTGTCATAATTTTAACATTCAACTTGAACGAATAGACTAAATTGAAATTAGACTTAAAATGTAGGGATCAAATTGTTTAATTTGAAATAATAAGAATTAAACTGAAATCTGAATCAAACTATAATAATTAAAATTGTAATTTACCATAACTAAATTGAAAGTTAAAATGAAAGGAAAGAGCATATATATATACCACATCTAACTCTTGGTTCTATCTTTGTCAACTTCATGCATGAACTCTCATTTATACAATTCATATATATATAGTTCTTGAGCTATATATCTCTCGCGAGAAAGAAGTAAAAGAAATATCAAGTACTTGATTTGGACGAGAATCACTTTTCTGCAATGACTCTATTGCGTTTTTTTACCACAACAAGACATGTAAACAAAGTTCATAATATAACCACTTAAGTTTAAAATTGAAGTAAAATGACATCAAAATACCACGTACTATTTTTTAAACCACACACAACTTAAAACGTCATTTTGCTTCAACTTTAAACTTAAATCGTTGGATCACCACAATATCCGATACGATAGAGCTCCAAAACATACTGAAAGATTGCCAGATCCGAAAATCATATGGGGCCTGTAATAGTTCCAAACAATGAAGAGTTAAAATAAAATGATCAAAATGAAAATAATTTTGTGACAAAATTAAAGAGTGTAGATGAGAAAATCAAAAGCAATAATTCTTCTTGACATTGGAGAAACCACACCAAGTGATAAATGGTGCCATTGCATTGTGAGATATATACAGTGTGTGCACTCTAAAATTATTAGAAAAAGTTTCAATTACCTTATCAATTAAATTTTTTTCATGAGTGATATACATAGAAAGCCGTATAAAAGGAATAGTTCGAATTATTGAAATGGAAGCCATTGTGGGTCCCATGAGCCTGAACATGACAATCAAATTCAAATTTAAACATATGAGAATTCTACCCCTTCATTATATAATTCATTCATAAAGCAAGTACTATTGTCAAAAGCCTCACAGAAATATCAACAAAATTTGTATCTGATAGTTCATCAGTCCATATTTAACAGTTGCAAAGGTGTTAATTTGGTTGTGTTTTTATTTTTATTTTTCATGATTTCATAAACAAAACGATAGAAAGTTGAGTAAATTACTCTTTGCATTTAGCACTTTACATTAAGGCTTTGTTTGTCATGAGTTAAAAAAGTCAAAATGTCGAAAAGTCACTATCCTGTTTAAGTCACATCACCTGTCTACCACATTACTTCAAACCCAACTCATATTCCATAAAAATTCAAAAAATACACTTATTTAGATCATTCCAAACCACCCCAAAATCTCATTTTGATCTCTTATTTTTTAATTATAACGTTCAACTACTCGCACTTTCATTTAAGTTATGGTCCTTTTGTTAATTTGGTGTAAAATTGCCTAACGAAAATTGTTACCTTACACACGTGACAATTTTCAGGCAAACATGAAATTTCCTTCTTCTTCTTCTTCTCTATTTTTTCATTGTATTTTCTCTCTATAATATTTTATAAATCCACTAGGAAAGCTTGCTGATAGTAAAGAGTGGTGAGTTTAGAAAAAGTAGTAAAGAGAAAATACTACGGGCTAATATAGAAGTAGAAATTGAAAGAAAATTACACATTCACCCTAAAAATGCCTAATGTTCACTGTATTTTCTTTCTATTATATTTTACAAACCCACCAGGAAAGGGGTGGTCAGTTTAGAAAAACAGTAAAAAGAGAAAGTACTATGGTAAAATATTGAAGAAGTACAAATTGAAAGAAAATTACAATTTCATCCTAAAATATGCCTAATGTGAAGTTCATTTGACAATTTTCGTTAACCGGTTTAACAGCAGACTGACATAAAAGGCACATTGCAACTACCTAAGGAAAATGTAGAAGAACAGCTTCACACATTGCAATGTGGCCCTTAATTTCAACATTTATGAAAATAAAGAAACAATTATGATAAATATTGACTCTATTTGTAATTTATTTATTATTATTTTTAATGAACCAAACACAAAAATAAATATTATGATAAAAATATCATTTTATTAACAAGATCAGTGAATTGGATGCCTAATTAAAAAATAATCAACTAGACTGATGTTTGATCAAAACAGTTGCTGCAATCATGAATTTTTTTTTTTATTGTTTTGTTAATTTTTCATAGTGCTTCTTTTAAAAACAACTTATAATTATCCCATTAAACAATTTAAAAGGAATTCACCCAGCAGCTATCTTAGAAATGTAGGATGATATGATTTTTAGCAATGTTATATATCACTAGGTTTTTCTATTATTTTTATATTATCGAACATATTATTTACTTTTATTATTTACAAATAAAGAACTAATTATAGGAATCCATGAAAGCAGTGACACATAAAGGTGACAAAAAACTTGATAATGTATAATAATTGTGAATACAAAAATCAATCACAAAACGGACTTAGAATATCCATGAACGGACATATTTTATGAAATTTATTAGTGGTATTTACATCTAAAAAATTGTCCATGCGTGTACATTTTGTATCCAGTTTATTTATTTATTATTTATTTATTTATTTATTGCTGAAAGAAAATCTAATTGATGGGACCAAAAAGGTAAACATTAATGGGGTACATCAATAAAATCAAAAGATTTGGGAAGAAGTAGTATTGTGCTAAACCGAGCATTCCAATCTAGTTTTGTAATCGTTTTCTGTATTGTTACACTTAATTTATTTCTATAGTTTTAGTACTTAATTACTCTGATATACAATCAAAAGACAATCTTTCAGGCAAATAGAACAGTAGCATTTCCAAAGAAAGAACATCCATTATAATAAGAATTGAATTATAAAAAGAAAGAAAGAAAGAAAAATTAAAATAGAATTCTCTTGCATTTATGATCCACAAGAAATCCAAGGCTGTGTTTGGTTTGCCTTTGGAATCATGATTCCAAATGTAAAATTTTTAAATTACTTTTTAAAATTCATAACTAAGCACACAACATAAAATTACTCAAAACTCAATTCAAAAATTAATTTCAAACCTTATAACCAAACGCACAATTCAAACTCAATTCAAAACTCTTTTGATGATATAGTATTGAAAATGGTTAGTGATATTTTTATAAAAAATCTATATAAAAAAATTCTTTATTTTAAAAGTATTTTTTTCTTCAAATAACAAGTTGCAAATAATAAAAATAAAAATAAAATAAAATTTGCACGGTTCCGGTCAACCGGCCGAACAGCCAGGAGGATGTCCAGGTAGACGACCGGGTAGACCCAATCCGCTCTTTTCAAAATTTAAAATTCAAACATTCTTTTTAAAACTCATAACAAAACAAATTTTATCCTTTCAAAACTTAACTCACAATTCTACACTTAATTCACAACTCCAAAAGAGAATCACAATTCCAAAATTAAACCAAATGCAACCTAAGACTAATAGCTGATATGTTGATGCATTAACACCAACAAACAAACACATTATTTGGAAAAATATCTCTCCCCCAAAAATTCAATTTTTTGGATGGCTAGTGTGAAAGAGTAGGATTAAAACTTCTACTTATATACAGAGAATTGGTATACTTGGTGTCAACATGAGTAACTTGTGTATTTTCTGTAACACTGATATGGAAACAACTGATCATGTGTTGATAGGCTGCTATCCAATTTGGAAGGTTTGGTCACATTTGATGAATTGGTGGGGATTGTACTGGGTTATACCACGCTCTTTGCTAGGACTGTTGGAATAGTGGGCTGGTTTTAAGTATAGAAAGTTGAAAGCAAGATTGTGGAAAGCTCTGTTGCTGGCAATAGTGGGTCTGTGTGGAAACACAAAAATGAATGCAAATTCAAGAATACAAAGCCAAACTTTGGGGAGTTGCAGGAACTGACTAAAGTTAGAGTGGCTTTGTGGATTAAAAGCAATGTAAGGAGGCTATTTTTTTTTGATCAGCAAAGAAAAATTTCATTAATCAACATGAAATTAAAGGTACAGGAAGATGAAATGCACTGAGAGAGATTCGGACAGTTTCTATACATGACTAAATGTATTAGAAATTATTTCTATAATTTTTTTTTTTTTGATCGGCAAAGAAAAATTTCATTAAAAACATGAAATTAAAGGTACAGGAAGATGAAATGCACTGAGAGAGTTTCGGAAAGTATAAAATACCCCTACTACTGCTACTCGCAACCATACAACCAACCCCTCGGCCTCACAATTTTTTTTTTTTTTTAAACAAAAAAAGTTAAGAAGGACTTAACAAAATATAAAATACATGATTTCCCACAAAAATCAACCCACCAAAATCAAACTACAAAATCAAGCTAGTAACCAAAATATTTTAAACACCAACTACACTCCCACAGCCCACAGTACCCAAGACCCACGCCATCCACGCCAACAAAGCATCGAAACTTCTCCACCAACCTGAACCAGAGTTCACCCCTCAAGCTCCTACTCGCAAAAGAGCGCACGAATGAAGATCCTGGATGGCCCCGAATCACCATAAAAACCAACCACTGCAAGACAAACACCCTAAGGTGGGAGAAATGAGGGAAATCAAGTTTATTGGAGGAAAAAGAACAAAACAAACGGATGCCGGAAAGAACTAGGCCAGCCGACCGCCATAGCCGAAGGCGGCGGCCGGCCGGCCCAAAGGGAGGCCTGGGAAGGAGGTTTTAGAGAGTGATATGTTGATGCATTAACACCAACAAACAAACACATTATTTGGAAAAATATCTCTCCCCCAAAAATTCAATTTTTTGGATGGCTAGTGTGAAAGGGTAGGATTAAAACTTCTACTTATATACAGAGAATTGGTATACTTGGTGTCAACATGAGTAACTTGTGTATTTTCTGTAACACTGATATGGAAACAACTGATCATGTGTTGATAGGCTGCTATCCAATTTGGAAGGTTTGGTCACATTTGATGAATTGGTGGGGATTGTACTGGGTTATACCACGCTCTTTGCTAGGACTGTTGGAATAGTGGGCTGGTTTTAAGTATAGAAAGTTGAAAGCAAGATTGTGGAAAGCTCTGTTGCTGGCAATAGTGGGTCTGTGTGGAAACACAAAAATGAATGCAAATTCAAGCATACAAAGCCAAACTTTGGGGAGTTGCAGGAACTGACTAAAGTTAGAGTGGCTTTGTGGATTAAAAGCAATGTAAGGAGGCTATGTTACTCAATTCAGAGTTGGTCTCTAATATCCAATAGATTAGAACATCATCCAAGGATATTTGAGGAATGACTTGGACTACTAAGTTATTTTTGGGTGGTTCTTGTGTTTCCTGTACATTTTTCAGTTGGGGTTGGCCTTCTTTTGGTTTTCTTTTCTATTTTCTTGTTCGGTTGGATCCTCTCCAACTTGGTGATGTGCTAGCATATGATTGTACTTGTTTTGTCAGCGCCAACCTAATTGTGATTGTCTTGTGTAGTTATGATATTCTTTACACTCACCTCCCCTAATCTTTTTTGATGTATTCCCTCCTTATTTGTTAGTTTATATCAATAAAGATTTCCTCTTTTTGCTGATGAAAAAAACAAACAAACAAATAAACAAACAAACACATTAGATATATAAGCATTGCGTTCATTAAATACACATATTTTTCTTATTTATTGACTCATTTAAAAACTGTAATTATGTGAATAATTTGATCATTTCATGTCTAATGGCCATTCATGGAGGGCGCAAGATCTTGTAGAATCCCCAAGGGACCAAGAATAGAGAAAAGTAAGCATACAAAATAATATATTTTTTAACTTTGGTTATTAACAATCTGTGATTTTGCATGAGATGGGCTCCTGTTTTTTGAGTAAAAATTTGGTACATTAACACACAGTATTATTAATCAATAACAAAAATAAAAAAGGATTAGTGAATTCCTCGATTTAGGTGTAACTGCATATTTCAAGATAATTTTGTAACTACTACATATGTCTATCGAGATTTATTATGCTTATATAATAATTTATTATTGAATAATGATACCTTGTACCAGTGATAAAATGGTATCATCCTTATATTAAATTATTTCTCCCTATTTTGATGATTGCCCCTAACCTTGGTGAGTGTAAAAGTTGATATGCTAATAAAGTACTATAAGATATTCTATGTATTTTTACACTGAAAGTGAGTATACAAATTAGGGTTTTGGAACCCTTGGCCTAGGGTTTTCTATGAAGGGGACTGATATGTCTCAGTTCTTGATAGAATGGATAGTTCAATTATATTGATTTCTTTTCCTCTTTCTAGGATTTTCTCATTTAAGGATTCAAATCAGATCTAAACTTCTAAAGATAAAAACAATAATAATCATATAGCACAAGCCTTATAGTTCATCAACATCACAAATATATATATATATATATATATCAATGAAAGTTGAATTCAATTTCATGCTATATATCAACAAGATCCAACTTCTAGGGGAAAAATTACCATTCTGTTGAGAAGCTGAAAGCAATCAAGATAACTGCATCTGAGGGTTTGAGGCGTCGTTGTAGGCATTCATTTGAATCTTCTTCTTCTTCTTTTTCTTGTAAGGGATTCCCCGAGCCTTTGCTTGAGAATCCCTCACCTCACGCAAGTAAATGCGTATAGCTCCACTTGCAAAAGGATTAGACTCCGGTAAGCCACCATTCTCTTCATAGGCAGCTCTAAGCCTACCGATTAGGGCATCAAGGCTTCCCCAAGCTTGCCTAAGTGGGCAAGCGCAAGGACCCGGTGGCTCAGGCTGCCCAAAGTACACACACCCTTGTAAGTGCACTTTAGTCTTCCCAAACTGATCGAGGTAGCGAAGGAAATCGAGTATGTGGTTGTAGTTGCAGTGAGACATGGGTACCGGAGGCCTTTGATTCTTCAAGTACTGCCCAAAGGTGTTCCAGTCTCGCCTTTTTTGTGACTCATATCGGCTCAATTGAGCAGGTTGCTGCACCTGCTGACGCTGATTATTTTCATCATCAACAAGTGCAGCAGCAGATCGTGATGATCCTTCTCCTGATCCTTTTCCTTTCTCACCTGACATCGATGATCGATGCAAATGAGTTCTTCTGGAATTTATTGTCTTTTTTTTTTTTTTTTTTTGGAGGAGAGGGATGAAAGATATTATTGGAGAGGAGAAAGATGGAGATCACATCATGGGACTAGTGAGAAGTGAGGACACATAATATGGGACCAACGAAAGTGCTTTAGCTCTTATTTTTATTTTCTTTTTCTTGATCCATCACATTATCTTGATCCATTAATTGTACTATTAGCATTAATTGTACAGTTTATTTTTTTCCCAAATATTTATAAGTATGTTATCATCATCAAAGCAATCATTATCCAGCATATTAGCAAATTTAGCACTATGATTTGGGACCTAGCTAGTGACTAGGTTGCTGGTGCAAGTAGCTTTGAGTTAGGGAGCGTTTGACAGTGCAGTTAAAAAATAGTAAATTAAAAAGGGAGATGAACGTAAAAAGATTTTAGCATCTTCATAATGTTTAGGGTGATGAACAAACTTGTCTCCTTTAAATTTTTTATTGGATTTTATGTAATAAAAAAAATAAATAAAGAAGGATGACTACTTGTAGCCACTAGCCTTTAATAGAGGTTCTTTATTAGGAGGAAACTGTTGTTTTTACTAGATCAACAGAATTAAAATTATTTAGAAAATGACTGATTTTTTTTATTTTTTTGACTGATTTTAAACTTATATGAAAATGTAGAGTCATGCCATGCAAAAAAACAAAAAATCAAAAAACAAAAAAACTATTTGGAAGGTATTGTGTGTTTTACAAGCCTCTACTGAAATTAGGGAGAGATTTGGAGGGGGGGTGGGAAAAATCATATCTAATTCATGATCCAAATGCAACTTAAAACAAAAACTTCAAGTTCACGGTCTCTCTTTCTTTTCAGTAGGAGCAGTAGACATGCATAAATAAGATGAACAAAATGCTATAAATAAGGTGATGACAATGTAATGGTATTCTTTAATGAGGGAAATATATACCATTTTGGTTTGTTAATAGAGTTACAAACAGACTTTATATAAAGAAAATGGTATCTATTCAAAAAATTTATACGTTCCAAAAATAAATTGTATAGTATAGATTCAAAATTAATATGATGTAGGATATACAAAATAAACGTAGTCTATAGACATATTTTTTTGAGTAATTTTTCAGATAATTTTATTCTTGCTTCTTCAAGCTAGCCTCTACATTTTTTATATGGAATGATGTGATGGATCTTATCATTTCTGTTAGGTTTTTATTCTTGGCAATCCTGTTTGACTAAACTCCTTTCAATTGTACTTGTTTTCGCACTTTTATTTCAGTGAGGCTATGAGTTTGTTAGATGCGAATCCAACCCGAATTGTGCCGTGCAGAGAAGTTTGTGATGTTAATTCTTTCAAGTTTGCCACTTCGTTGACTATAACTGCGTCTGGCAAAAACCTGAGAGAGGTGAATGTGCACTCGAGGACAGATTGCGTGGCTCGAGCGAAACCACTTATGGAAAACACGCGTTTTTTGTTCCTCGCTCGAGTGAGAGAGTCTTCGCTCGAACGAGCTTCCAATCCCAGATTTCTATAAGTACGTGTTTCTGTCAGATTTTAGGATTACTGCTCCAGATCTTCTTTTTGGATATTAAGGTTTATATCTGGAGATATTTTGTTAGTTTTCTTTAATGTTTAATTAAGTATTCAACTCATGGGTTAAGAAGAATATATCAAAGGTTTGTTTGTTCATTCTATACAAGAGAGAGAGTTGTTCTTCGATGGATTCTGAAGAATTTGAGCCTGAAGCTTTGGTGGATTTTAGAGTGGCTCATCGTCAAGACAATTCTGAGGTGAAGACGGGGCTGGAAGAGGCACATAGGGGTTGGTTCAATTCGGACGTGGATTCGTTAGGTAATTGAAAGTATACCTGTGTAATTCCTCTATATCTTCTTAGTGGATTGTTTTATGACTGTTGCCGGAGATTTTTTATCACAATTGGAGGTGCTCCAATTATGACTTTTTCACGTTAAAATCGTTGTGTCGATTTGTCTTAATTGTTTGATTAGGATTGTTTTATTACTTTTAATTGATGCATAATCACAAATCAATATCTAGCGAATTTCTAGATTATTCAATTTCAAAAATGTAATAAAGGTCCTTCAATGTGAATTTTACACAACAATGTCATTACTACATTATTTTGGTATAAAATTTTGTACAAATTTTATGTTTGTAAATCATTTTACTTAAATATATTTGGGAGAGGTTATAATGTAAAACTTATACTTTTTGTGTGAAAAGTTATACATTTTGTTAGATAAAAATTATGATTTTTGTGATGAAATTTACAAATTTTGAAATTATAATGTGCACTTAAAAATCATGTATAACTAAAGTTATACCTTTTTTTAGAGAAGTTAAACATTTTGACAGAAGTAAAAATTACATTTTTTTTGAAGAAAAAAGACTATTTTTTGTGACAAAAATTATACATTTTGTGAAAGAAATTATTTTTGCATAAGGTGCATATGATGTGCACTTGTGATATATTTTATACAAGAAAGGACAAAATTATTAGTTTCAAAGTCTGACTGTAGCAAATATATATACGATACTTTTGAAAAAAAAATAAAATGAATAGAGCCGACCTCTCTCATACTCACCTAAACAAGATGAGGTCAAGTGAACTTCACTCACCTCATAAATATTTCTCTTATGTTTCGACGCTGCTAAATAATTACTTTCAAAAAATAAAATAAAATACATCTCTTACAATATAAAGAAGAAAAAAACCAACATTTGAATTTTTTTTTTTTTTTTTTTTTTCTCACCTGGACATGTATCATATTCTTAAGATCTGGTTGACTATCAAAGATTTTGGTATACTATAAGGTGGGATGAGCATGTAACTTCACAAATGAAGACATGAAAGGTTCTAAATACCCCCAATTAAAAGAACCCACATCATCAAAACAAAAAATTAAGGACTTAATTGCCGCCACATGTCACATTACGATTCAAACTTGATCGTTTGTTTGAAGAATAATGCTGTGAGACTATCAATTTTCACCACTGTCATTACCATCACCAACAGTATTGGTGATAATGCTTAATGATACTAATTAATATCCCATTGTACTGCTGTTAGTGATGTTTTTGTTGTTGCCCATCTGGTTTCCTTTATCCTTCCCTCACTTTTTGCAAGTTACATTGAAATCTATAGGTAAATACCATATTTGCCCTTGCATCTTGTTTCCTAAATTCAAGCTACATGTCAATTCTACTTGGATGCATGCATCATGTTATGTGTATATCATGTTTAATTTATTACCCAATTTTATAGTAAGGGAAGATAGCCTTTTTTTTTATCAGTAAAAAGAAATCTTTATTAAATAAGAATTAAGGTAGAATTTTACATCGAACATCAATAAAAGAAAAATAAAAGGAATCATACCATAAGCATCCTGACAAAAATGCAAATGGGAGCAAAAACAAATGGCTCCATGATACAGTGGTGATTGATATCAAGTTTATCGAGTAGTTTAACCGTTTGATAATAAAATCATAATTTCACTGCTTTTGATTTTTCAAGGCTGTTGGATTAGGCCCAAAACAAGCATATTCGGTTCAAAACAGTTTAACAAGTTCGACGACATGGTGACTTGTGCTTAATTTTAGATGAAGTCTATTTTAGCCTTTGAATTAAATTTTTTTACTATATTTGAAAAGATATCAAATGCTTAATTTTGGGGTATAAATAAAAATATTTTTTTTAATTTTAGATTCTAAATTTGAGCCTAACTAATTTTTGTATTTTTGGAGGGAAAAAAATTATTTTATGTAATTTTGACTTGATTTGAAGCATGATGATTAAGCATTATTTGTTATAAATTTAATTGTAAGCCGTTAGAACTATTTAGTTACTGTTAGAGTAACAAAATTCAGAGAAATATTTCTCATTTCTATAGTGTCCTTTGATTTTATTATTATTATTATTTTTTTTTTTTTTTTTTGGTTTTCCTTTCATTCCATATGCTTCTTTGCATCAACTCATCTATGATATTTTAGCAATAAGAACAATGATCATATATTTTTTTTAAATTAATTATACCGAGATTTCTCCAACTATTAGTGATAATTAACCCTTACTATCTTTATTTACCATCTCATGCATTACTGTATTTTTTTTAATGCACGTATCTCCTGCCCAGCTTAGTCTTATTGGGTCCAAACTTTCAATGGCCAATTGACATATTTAAACTTGAGATTTTGAATTTTTATCATCGGCCAACCTTTTAAAATTCTTACTTTATGTGTATTTTTCTGTGTGGCTGTAATTTAATTAGGCATACTATTGAATGAAATCGACACTTTTTTGTTCTTATTTGAAACTTATCCAACAATTTTTAGTTCTCTCTCAATGAAATACTATTTTTTTTAGTAAATAAAGTTCTCCAGAAGTTTCTTTCTTCCCCTTTCAATTTTTTTTTTCTCTCTTCTCAGAATCATTAAGGGAAATATATTTAAAAATAATATAGTAAATCACAATTTTAACATAATTACATTAAATATTAAGATTTTAATTTATATAATATTTAAGTTTTTTTATCAATAATTTGTTAGTCATATATGAATGAAAAAACTAATGTGATTTTTTTTTTACACTAAAATATATAATTTTTCTTGTTTATTTTTGTGTGTCACATTATCTGTATTAATTTCGGTCTATTTAGCAAAATTGGTGCAATTATATAAAAATTATGTAACATATTGTATTTTTTTTAAATATTGAACCCAACTCGATCAAATGAAGGAAAAAGATACTTACTATTCCTAGTTGCTTTCTTTAAAAATAAATAAAATCTGTCTCAATTGATCTGATGAGAACATTTTGTTATTTTATTTTGGGCACAAAAGAATGTGCATGGAACACAGCAATTTGTGATCCTTAACGTTTCTCATTCATAAGCTTCTGTTTAAGTCCTAGGTGTTTCTACCAAGAAGAAAAATCAATTTTCTAGGATTTTTAATGATTTTCTCTAGTCATCTCTTTGTTAGGCTAACTTTTTAACAATAAGAGGGAACAGAAATCAAATTAAGATTGGAATTAATCTAAAATCGACATTCCAATGTTTTGTGAAATCCTTAAATGAATA